ATCCAATTCATGTTTATTTGAAAATTAGCTTTAGTAATTTCCAGATGTCTAGGATTTTGAGAATAGCATTTCAGCCTTAGAGCCCCTTTGAAATGAGCCTCGCTGCCACTTTGCTAGTGGTGGAATTTATAATTCAAAATACTTTCAGAGATCATGTTAACTTGTTTGTAAATGATATTGGCATTAACGGGACTCATTTTCTTTTCATTTCGCATAAACTGTAAAATATAATAAGAGATAAATGTCTTAGTTGTACTGAGGAGTATTGAAGAGGGGTATTTTGGAGCTAATGGTATCAGTAAAATGAAAAATGTAATATTAAAGAACTGATTCATTATAGGAAACTGAGAGAAGAAATATTAAAAAATCTTTTTTATCAGATTAGTGGAACTTTCTTGTCTAGAGAACAAATTATTAAAACAGGTCAAAATAGTTGCAGAAACATTTGTTTATCTATACTGTGAATGTTGCTCTTTCCTCTCTGGAACAACCTATCTTTCTGAATTATAGATCCAAATTTCCCATCTTTCATAAATCTTGTAAAAATGAGTAGTTGAAATAATAAAATGATGGTAAACATTGTAGATGGCCTTTCTCCATTACAAATATATGAAGAGAGGAGGGGGAAGTGAAGAGCAGTACAATTAGATTGATTCATTAAATCTGGCAGTGGTCCACTTCCACAAGAAGCAAAAAAAAAAAAACTTTAGCTTCTTTCTCCTTACGTAGAAATACAACTTGGAAGATTGTAAAGCTAATTAGTTGAGGATAATATTACTAACAATAATACTAATAGTAATAATATTCACTGCCTTTTGGGAATAAACTTATTCCTAAAAAATATTCCTTATTTATACTTTCAGAGAGACTGTTGTTTGGTGCTTATAATGTTGCATCCATCCTTTTACACTGTTGAGTCTGGCTTAAAATACTGCAAAATATTCAGGTTGCAGCAACTATTTTACACTCTTTGAAGGTTAGATAGGGGCTGTCCATGGTGCTGAAATTGTGATGGTTAATTGCCGTGTATGAGTGATAGGCCAATACTTTTCTAATCTTACCATTGTTTGTCCTTATTCAAACAAATTCCATCTATTTCTATGTGCATACAGTGTTCAAAATGCACTGATACCTTTTTATTTCTTTATATCTGTCTCTAGAATGACATGTATTTGATGGCCTGAAATAGACCAGTCATATAAGTCCATGTTTGGTTTAAGATGTATTCTGTGCAATCTTTCACTTCATGGAATCTCCTAAGCCAATTTTACAATTCTGTGAGTAACTTAGTGAGTCTAAAATAATTGGGATGCTTTGACTTTTATTTTGTGAGAAGAGTACAGTCTTTGCCCAAATCTCAAATACCTCAGATTGATGTATTTCCAGATAACTACTGGACTGGTTAAAAATAAATTTATATAATAGCATTTTGAATTTCTTCTCTAAAGATAAGAGCCTAACCCTGTCTTGTTTAGACTAAAGTTATTCTAAGCAGCATGTGGAGTTATAACTGTAATAGCAAATGCTATTATAAAAGTCCCTTAGGAAAAATAAAAGATAATACCTATAACAAAACCTTCATTTTACTTGTTTTGTGATTCTTTGAGGACCATATACTATAACATTCCTCACAAGCCATCTTTTAATTCATATCATACTTTCGTTGCTTATTTTTATTGTTTCATTGCTTTACTAATGGTATGTTCTCATTTTTATCATTTTTTTCCCATTTAATGTTGTAAGCCACCCAGAGTAACCCCACAGTGAGATGTGCGGCAAATAAATTTAATAAATAAAATTAAAAAGTAAAATAAAATTTCAGAGTAAATTGAAATGTATTGCATACTTAAGAAGATTACAAATTGGAGCTTTATAAAAAGCCTATGGAAGTCTTACTTCCATAGGCCAAAGCTAGCTATGCAGCATGCAACAGTTTTGATTAATTTGTTGTGATTATTAATTCCTGTTAAATGTGTGTTTTTTTCTCATTAATATTTTTTTTAAAATCTCTACCAGATGCAAATGTATAATTACAAAAAAAATATGCAACCTAATTTATAGAATCCATATAGCTTAAAGTGTGGGGATTTCTAACCTGGGCTCCATGAACCATTAGATGTACATGGATAAATTTTGAGGGGGGGGGGAATTTGGACAGAAACATAATAAAACTTGATAAAGTAAAGCATAAAACAACTTTATGTTTGCTTATATTACTGTACTACATATTTGTTATTTTAAAACAGTTGGAAAACTTTTTCAGCATAATTGGGGTCCATAGATTTCACCATACTGCTAAAGCAGGGTGTCAAATTCAATTTCATTGAGGGCTGCATCAACATTATGGTTGCCCTCCAAGGGCCAGTAGCATGTGAGACTATGACAACTTACAGGGGCCAGTGGGTGTGGCAGGCTGGGCGTGGCTGGGTGGTCACAGCCAGGTCACCATAAATAGGTGGGCATGGCTGGGTGGATATGGCCGGCTTGATGCTGCTCACTGAGTGCAGCTGAATTGGGATGGCTGGGTTGATATGGAACAAGTTGTTCCAGCTACCTTGACATGGGGACAATTCGGTGCCCCACAAGCTCCTTGCCTCCCCAATCTGCTAGCAGGCAAGTGCGTGCACGTGCATGCACACACAGACACACACCCCGCATTCCAACTTTGGGGACTTTTATCCACAGAGGAAGGAGAGGGCCTTCTCCCCAAGCCCAGGCCTGATTGACAGTTTGCAAGCTCATATGTGGATAAAAAGTCTCCAAGCTTGGAATGGTGTGTGTGTGTGTGTGTGTGTGTGTGTGTGTGTGTGTGTGTGTGTGTGTGTGCGTGTGCACAGCATGCCAAAGGAGACATTCTTCTTCTAATCCCAGATATCATTGGCATTTCCCTGTCTGGTGCCCCCTCCCATCAAAACAGGAGGCAGAGGACGACACTGCTGCATGTGAAAGCTCAGAGGAGAAAGTTTGCAGGCAGCAGCAGTATCCTCCAAGTCCAGCTTCTACCTTGACAGATCTCTGGAGAGCAAGAGGAGGAGGCAGGGGAGTAGTGCTCCCCGATCCTGCAGAAGGGAGGGTGGCCCTTCTCAAAAGGGAATCTCCATTTCCAATTGTGAATGGTAAGGATGCTAGCTTATTGGGGCAGCCTTCCCTCACAAGTTGGACTCGGAGGAAATTGCTTCCTGCAAACTTCCACACACAGCAGCTTCATCCTGTGCCTCCTGTGGAGGCCAGGCAAGGCTGAGAGAGGGGATCCGGAGGTCTCCAGTGGACAAAGGCGAGATCAGGGCAAGCACCAAAGCCTCGTCCACCAGAGGAGCCTCACCATCTCTCTCAGGCCATGTGGAGTTTGAGTTTGACATGTCTGTGCTAAAGGGACATAAATTATCTAAGGTGGGACTCCCATTCATGTCTTGCAGTAGCCAATACGCCATGCCTTATCTCAGTTTTTTAATGTAGATGCAGTAAAGTAGAACATCTGGTTTGCATAAGCTCTGTACTTCAATTTTTTTTCCAAAAAGGTTTCTATTTGAATTTGGATTAGTGGTATTATTAGGTAATGAACAGAGCTGATAGCTACAGAACAGATATTTTGTTTTGCTTTGGTCTTAATTCTGTTGTACTATCCACACTATTTGAGTAGGTTTCATACTAAGATTGTTGAGAAGGAAAGGCTTTATAGTTTAACAGAGGCTGTGGAATGGCCCAGAGTGACTCAGAGTTTGGGCCAGCTCTGTTCTTGGCCACCATGACCCTGATCCAAATCTTTGATCATTTTCTGATTCCTTGCTTGCTTGCTTACTCAAATTTGGAATAATGTACTATCAGTATGCTATCTTGTGGAGAGGTCAACTGAGGGATGCTTGCAAGCTCTGAGGGAGCTATTGAGGAGAAGCAGACTCACACTGAACTCTGTCAAGACTGAGCTGTTGTGATTTGGGCCATCTGGCCCTGGAGAATCTCATTGTTTAGTGCTGGATGGGATGGCACTTTTCCATTTAGGACTGGAACACAATCTGAGGTTTTTCCAAGATTCACAGCTCCTTTTTAAAAATCAGGTGGCAGCTGTTGCTAGGAAGGCCTTCACATATATTCACCTTGTGTGTCAGTTATGTCCATTCTTAAATCAAGAGGCTATCCAGACAGTCACTCATGTCTTAATCACTTTTATATGGATGATTGCAGTGGGCTCTAGATGCTGCTGCTCTTTGAAATCATTTGGAAACTTCAGCTGGTTCAGAATGCAGTGGCCACAGGCTACTAATAAGCTCACCTTTGCTTAACAACATATGAGCTGCTCTAATTGTCAGTTAAGTTGAAGATGCAATTCAAGGACTGGTCCACAAAGTAGGGCCTGGCTCTCTGAGGGGCTGCTTTTCTCCAGCAGTTTCAGACAGATCTGCAGATCCCATTGCTCAGACAAAGTGATCTGATGAGACCCACCTTTGTCAATGCTCTGCCAATCCTCTGGAATGGCATTTCTCTAGGGATTCCCATGGCTTCTTCCCTGCTTTCATTTAAAAGATTGTCAGAAGTTTGGCTTGGTTCCACAGGCCTTGGGTTAAAGTGGATGATGGGTTTCTTTGTGAATATATATATATATATATATATATATATATATATATATATATATATATATATATATATATATTAACTAGATGGTTCTTGTTCCCGAACTTCTTTTTTTATTTTCTGCTTTATTTTTGTTTATTATTTTAATTGTTTAAACCCTCCCAGGGGTGTTAAGGATTCAGGCAGCTTTATAAATCTTATAAATAAATAATAAATAAATAAATAGATCAATACTGTTTGCTTTGACTTGCAGTGATTTTTCTCAGTTTTCAAGGCCTTCTCTCATTTTAAAATACCCCCAGCTAGCGATGTATGTACGAAGCCTCTGAGCCGTAGCCTTCCGTTTACGCTGAAGCCCTTGCTTCAAGGTGCCCTCTTGTTGTTGTTCTTTGTCTTTTCCACTGAAAGTAGCCTGTCTTTTTACGTTTCAGAATCCTGCTGCCAAATGAGGACATTGGACAGTGGAATAGGAACCTTTCCTCTTCCAGACTCAGGAAACCGTTCAACGGGCCGACACGTTTCTAAACAAGGACTGGATTTAGAAAACGAAGATTTCACATCACCCGAGCAACCTTTTCCTCAGTCTCCATCTGAGAAAGCCCAAACCCTAGAACGAGAAGTGCCTTCAACAACTAATAAAAGCCCGGGATCTGTCGAGAGTGTAATTTCTCATTCCGCATCAGATCCTACAATGGCTGATAGAGGCGTGCGGGCTTTGCAGAGTCATCTTCCGAAAGCAGCTTCTTCAGGTAAAACGACAGCTTCTGTTTTTTTCCAAACGAGATGCTCTGTGTCCACCTGTCCGTTCTCGTTAGCAGAGACCTCCCAATGATAACATTGTGTAAAAATGGGTGAAATATGCAGCTGAAAAGACACCTCGCATTACTGTAGATGTTTTGCAAACTGCTGAGCCCAGTGAAATGGAGAGGTTATGATGCTAAATGGGAATCTACTGTCTTATAAAGAAGACATAGCACGTGTTAGGGGGTCTTTTTCAAGCTCTACCCAGTTAGACTGACCCAGATTCAAGAGAGACACAAACATGCTGGGCCCTGGATAGCTGGTTTCTTTCTATCTCCCTATAAAGGTTGGGGAGATATTCTGTTTTGTAAAAACAAGCACATGAAAGCGATCCTATATTCGATTCTATTGTTATCGTTTTACTATCACTATGATAATCGTATGACAATTAGTACATTTGACAATGTTCATATTATAATCTATATTATTATTATTCAATATACCGGGGATAGGCAACCTTGGCTCTTTTATGACTTGTGGACTTCAACTCCCAGAATTCCTGAGCCAGCTTGCTGGCTCAGGAATTCTGGGAGTTGAAGTCCACAAGTCATAAAAGAGCCAAGGTTGCCTACCCCTGCAATATACTATACAATACTCTGTATTATTGCTAATACGCATCAACATTTATTTCTTAAGTCTGTTCTGTCTTAAGTCTCCCCCCCCCCTTTCTCTGAGATTTCTTCTTTTTCTGTTAATGGCCACAATGTAGAATTCTTGCATCTTTTTTTTCCCATGTTCTGCTTTATCTAGCTGAGCCTTTATACTTCTTTCCCTCTCTTTTGGAGCATCCACTCCTGCTGAGGGAAAGCCACCTTCATTCATTTGGCTGCTGTACTCTGCTGGTGGCTGCAGTGCTCCAAAGCACACGTCTTCTACCACACCTGTGTCAAGGTTGCAGCTTTACTGGCAATTCTGCTAGGCTGATGCTGGGGAAAAGGCACACACAGGAGAGAAAGAAAGGAGCAGAGGTTCCAGCAGCTTACTCTTCCACGCCATGTCTTTAAATACTTTGTGGATAATGTCAAAGCTAAGTCAGGGCACGTTTAAGCTGTAGCCTAGGGGTGTCAGACTGCCGCCCCGTGGGCCGATGCGTCATGGCAAAACCGCACCCACCCCATTGCCGGCAATGGAAAAAAAGTTGCGATACGTCACGACACATCACGTGACGTTACGCGTTTGACACCCCTGCTGTAGCCAAAAGCAAATTGAAGATTTTTCCAGAGGTGGCAGAACTTTTACTCTTAAAATACTTTTGTGTGTGTATGTGCTTGTAATGTGTGGGTATGTCATATGTGACCATATGGTTCTTAGTCCAGGTGTAAAGGCCAATGCAAGCTTATGATGATGATTGTTATATGAAGCATTCATACATCTACATCTAGAAGTAGCTTAACCATTTTATTCAGAATCCCAAAGGTGCTTTTCGAAAGGCAACTGGACATTCTTGGGGGGTTTTTTTTCCCCTTGAAAATGTTTTGCTTCTCATCTAAGAAACTTCTTCAATTCAGGTGGAACTCAAGAAGCTTCTTGGATGAGAAACAAAGCGTTTTCGAGGGGGAGAAAAACCCCAAGAAAGTCCAGCTGCCTTTTGAAAAGCACCTTTGGGACAACTATGACCTGGATGACTGAGAGTCTCCATAGACATTTTATTGAGTAGTATAAAAGGCTGCCCTTTTCAAGTTCATCAGAAGTACGTGAATCTCATGTGCTAAATGTTATTTGTTTAAGTATTCGAATCATGATCCCGTGTACTTCATAAAAGAAAAAAATGTTTAAAACAGAAAGAGTATGTTAACATGTTTAGACTGCACAATTGTTTGGCAAAGCTGACCTTTTCTCCGATTGCCACGTTCAAATGAGAATTAGAAATCTATTGCAAGAATCCCAAAGAAGTTTTGCTAATGTGTCAATATTTAAATTGAACAGATGAATAAATAAACTACATTAAAGATTCTTGAAAGTTTACGAGACACCTTCTAATTAAACATGCTGGAATGTAATTGATTTAGTAAAATTCCTAATACAGGTTTGCACTGCCTACAATAGAATGCAAATACGTGCTGTATGCTTCATTGGAAACTCCCCTGCTCATTTCAGATTGTAGTTAAAGAAAGGGTATCTTAAGTTAGACTATTTTTTTAAAAAAAGTGTATTGTTAATTAATAGCATAACTAGAGGAGATTTAGAATAGAAATCTTAGTTATAGATTATATGCTACATGCTTGAATAGCCACATGTGTGACCTCAGTTCAGCAGCGTGCTATAGAAAAGGCTCCGTGATTAAACACTGTCATTATAACAAATTGAATAGAAACTGCAAGCACTGAATTGCTTCATAAGAAGTCAGTAGCACTGAGATTGTCCTGATCTTAATGCTAATATTCACTGCACCAGCCTTCTACTGTCTGTTTCTTAATTAAATTGTCTTGAAGAGATGTGTTTTTTAAAAAAAACAAAACAAAAAAATAACCTGGTATGCTGCAGATTGGGAAGTCAACATTCTCACTTTCAAATGTTGTCTTCTCACTAATCTCTCTTTTTCCCTCCCATATGCATGCATACGGTGAATCTTACAAAGCACTCTGATTTAGATGTGCTCTTGTTCTACAAGTTGGTCCATTGAAAAAGAGTAAATTATTTGGTTTAGAACACTTGTGGTGAGAGAATTTTTTTCTATTGCTTCGTCCTTTTCTTCTCAGTTAGAAAAATCTACCTCTGATGGTTCCCTTCCTCAAACTTTTCATTAAAAAAAAATGGTCAGGACCCATAAATCGTTGTGATTTCATGCCAATTTGTTTTATTATTTTATTTTATTTTATTTATAATTTGAGGTTATATGTGCTCTGCTTGCACATCCCTAACAATAAGGATGGCTGAGTATTATGCCTTTTTGGTAATGTAACTATATGTAAGAAGTATGTTCCATGATATTAAGTGATTTGGCTTGCAGGATTCATATCGAGTTAGCTTTGTCTACTTCTTCCTCCATTTTGTAGAAATGGAGCTATCAAGTCCTTAGCAGCAGCTTACAATAAAGAAGCAAGATTCCCACACAGTCTTCTTTCCACAAATTTATTGAAAGGGAAGAGGTTTAGTTTATAAAAATGTTGGCAATTTGTTGCATTTACTTTAACACCCAATTTATTGCTAAATGTCTTCTGGCAGAGATGACTACCTCTTTTCCTGATAAAGAAGAAGGTGCGGATATTCTGCATTTGTAACATTTTGCAAGCCACTGTCCTCTCTTTTTCCCATGACCATAGTGTAATCAGTCAATTCATGAATGAATCTGATCCTTACATGCAAACATAATCCAAGATGCTATGCTCCATTTCTTTTTGTTATCCAGGAGTAACAGGTCCCGTGGGAAAAAACAGTCAAGAATCGAGTTGTTTGGCTTCGGCATCATTAGATGATTCAGAGAAAGAAAAAAACAGCAATGTAAAGATGTTTCCAGACTGGAGCAGCAAGAATGTTATCAAAGCCAAGGTATAAATGTAAAATATTTTGAAAGTATTTGGTTTATTTCTCAAAGTTTATTTATTTCTCAAATTTATATTCTGTCCATCTCTTAAGTTATTACCCCACTTCATCCTCCCAAACTCTGTGATGGTAATTTGATTATAACACATTATTAGAGTTGATGGATGGTATTCTGAATGTCCCAGGTTCAGCTCTGGCTTCTCCATGCTATATTAGAAAAAAATCTTATCTAAAATCCTGAATAACTATTGCCATTTAGTATAGAGCAATAGGCAAGTCAAACACCCAATAAGGTTCATGGCAAGGAAATATCTTTACTCTGTTTTTAGACCAAATCCACTAGCCTCTCATCATTTCCATACAAGATGTTAGCTGTTTAACAGAGATAAGAATGGTAAAATAACATTATTGCTGAATATTTTGTGTAGCAGTAGGTTTACCAAAAGTAAACTTACATTAAATTAAAATTCAGTTCAGTAATATATCATGCATATTCATTAGCATTAATATGTTATATGTGCTTTCCCCTTTCATTTACAATATTTACAAATAATTTTTATTATTGATTGCAGTTAATTTACAGGGGAAGAATTTGTGACGTGATGTCAAGTAATCTATCAACTTAAGATATTAAACCGTTGTTATCCCCAAACATTATACAGTAGAGATTCATTTCATTTTCTTTTTTGTATGTGCTTATGTAGTTTCATACTATCTCTTTTTCAAAAAGTGATCATATTCTGCCTCTTACTATGTTCCAGGAAACTGAGGTCAATTGCAAGAAAATTTGAAGGCTAAAGTTTAATGTGAAAAATACATAGAATATTTTGTGCTGTTGTTATTTCTTTACTGCAAGTGTTAGCAGCCTTGAATTTGATAAAAGAGGCAGTGAACGTAGGAATGTTTAAATTTTTTGCTATAACTTTATTCCTAATCAAAGTTCCCTTCATCCAAAGCTACTTTCCTTTTTTGAAGTGGAAAGGATATATGAAGCAGTTATATTTTCTTCTCCAAGAGAAAAATATCTGGGTTGATTTCTCTTGAAAACCTGGACTGTGTGAAAGAGTAAAAGAAAAGCCCATTGCATTTCTGTGATCAAACTCAGAATTTCCTTTGGAAAAAGGAGAAGAAACACATCCAAGAAGATACTACATGCCTACCTTGAATAATTTTTTTTAAAAAAAGCTATACTGAAAAATTACAATCATACAATTATTTGCATTGTGCCAAATAAAGAATTAGAATAAATGTAAAGTCCTTTAAGATAATAGTCTGAATTATTGGATTTGAGTGGGAAGTCCTAAGTTTTATTAGATTTTTCTCTCGCCTGTATTATTTTTATAAGTAACTCAAGGCGATGAATGTATTTAATACTCCTTCCTCCTTTTATTTTCCCCATAACAACAACCCTGTGAAATGGGTGGGCTGAGAGTGATTGGCCAAATCATCCAGACAGCTTTCATATCTAAGGCAGGATTAGAATTCACCATCTCTTGGTTTCTAAACCAGCATCTTAATCACTATAACTGCAGTCACTTTCTATGGGGAAACCCTCTAGATGACTCCGAGCCAATCATTCTTTTCTTAGCTCCATCAATCTCAGCAGGTGATTGTTATGAGGAAAACTAATATAGTACTATGCTTAGATAGAAGCACAAACCAAATAAAAACAATAATGCTAACAGAAGATTATACCACTGGGGGATGGTATGGATTCAGGTTCCCCACTGCAATACAGTACACTTTGTTTCATAGGAATACACTGTAGAATTGGATTCCTGCGCTGGATAGGGACTGTACTAGATCGGGGTCCCAAACCCCAGGCCACGGCCCACTAGTGGATCTCAGCCTGTTGAGAACCGGGCCTCACAAGCAGTGGGTGAGCGCATGCGCATGTGTGCAAATGGAGCTGTTTGTGCTTGCGCGAATGTCTACCACTCACACATAACCATCCCCTCCCCCACACACCAGGCCCCCCAAGCCGAAAAGGTTGGGGACCACTGTACTAGATGATACCTAACGTTCCTACAGTTTTATGTTTCTTTAATATTTTATTTATGTATTTATTGAATTTATTTGTCACCTCTCTTGTAACGAAATGACTCTGTGTGGCTTACAGCATTAAAAATTATAATCCTAAGAAATATCTTTAAAACAATAAAAGTACAAATCCCAACCAATAAAATTATAATATAGGGAATCTCCAGCCCTCAAAATATTCCCCAAGTATTTCTCACCCGATGAACAATGTTTGCTTCCATTTCTGTCAGTTCAGAGACTTGTTGGGTGACTACTTCATACCCCAGAGACAACAACAGGTAAATGACCGACTCTGAATTCCTGAGTTGCCACTAACTCTTCCTGGATCCTTTTTACATTTCAAATGCTTTTGTTATAACATTAAAGCAAGATGGATTCTCTAGCTGGATTGTGTGCAAACTGGTTTTAATACTTAGGTTGTGCTGGGAGAAAGTTCAGGGATTGTGACCTTTAATGACATAATCGGTAGCAAATGGCAGCAGTTAAATAAATTGTGAAAGAGATAAAAAAAAAAAAGGGCTCACCTTTTTGCCTGCACTCCAGACCTACTGCTTTCACTGAAATGTTTTCTGTTTTGAGTCAAGGAATTGTATGTTGTTTTGTACAGGACAGGGCACTGAGAGTGTGCACTTACTCTGCTAGCAGTAGCAGTGATACCGAAATGGAGCTAGAGCATGAAACAAATGATTTTGGAACTGGAGGGGAAATGTTGGTAGATTTAATGAAGAGCAACAAACAAGGTACTGTACCATTTGTGCAAGGAAATGTATTAATCCCACTTCTGTGGTGACACATGCTTTTTAGCCATCACTTCTAAAATCTCATTACTCTTTATTGTATTTTTACAGCCTGATTTTTGCAGCCTGATTGTGACTAGATGTCAAACTATAACATTTTTAGTTGTAAATCCTTATGGTGTAACTAAAACAATATAATATTCTGTTATTGCTTCAATAGTATATTATACAACAAGACACACACACATGTCCCATATTTAAATAGTTTAAAAGAAGCCAATGAGCCATGAACTCAGCTCCTATTCTTTAGTTAAAGTCGTATCTAATTTTCCTTTGGAAACAGACATGGCCCTTTTCTCCCATGTTTCTCTAGATCTTTCACATACATTAAATATAACTTAAATAAGAGCCAAATAACTAAACTCTTACTCTTGTAAATGTTTGGTTGATAACTATTACATTTTTAAAGCATGCATGCTTTGTGTTTTTTTAATTCAAATTTTAGAATAAAATTTAGGCGATGCCTATATTGTGACCCTCATGCATTTTCATCCAGTATAAATTTTCCATTTTTAATGAAGCAGTTTTGAATGCACATGGCTGACTCTAAATTAATTTAGAAGCATGCTTAGGAGATGACCTTGGAAGAGATTACTCAAGTGAATTGCAGTAGATTCACATTACTTCATTTCTAAGTGGTACTGGAACACCTACTACTAGACTTAGTGTGGCCTTAGCATCCACAAGGCTATTAATATATGTTGTGTGAATGTGGGTGAAAATAAGCAGCTACTATGTAGATACACTGTTAAGCATCATTTTTATTTCACAGGCTATAGTGAATCCGATTTAAATTCCAGAGTTTGAGAATAAAATGATGGGTGCCTGGATCTTCGTGCTAAGTGTTCAGAAAATAATAATAATAATAAAATAAAATAGTAAACAGCATCCTTGGTGTCTAGAAGGTTAATAGGGAGAAAGCTCATGGTCACAGTGATCAAAAAAGCTGGTTTGAAAGAATGTCATTCTTGAATTCTAAATGTGACTACCAAAAAATTGAGGAACCTATTAAATCTCTTCATCAGTAGCTTCTGCTGGCTTGAACTATTAGAAAGTTACCAGATTGCTTATGTTTGATCTACAGATAAAAGCAGCAATATTTTTTCACTGGGAAGCTGGTGTTCATATTGACTAACCAACTCTAGTTAATCAAGCCCAAAATGTGCAAATAAGGGTCCAAGCAAAGTATATTGGAACATGTCTTCCGGCAAGAAATAATATTCATATAACTGTTATAGTCACACGTATAAGAGCTGTAAGAGATAAGATTTATTTATTTATTTATAAATTTTATCATAGCACCTGAAACCAACCAGCTCTAGGCAGCTGACAGAGTTTAAGTATTAAAAGCAGAATACATAAAAAAATTAAATGATAACTGAAAATACAAGTTGAAAATCATAATATTCTAAAAATGGCACTACGTGAAACTATTAATCTGGAAGGGATGGATTTGCATTGATTACAAAACAAAGGATATATTTGCATATATGCCTTAGGATAGCAATGATCATAGGAATTTTTTTACACACTTTTCATAACACAGCATTGTTTACTGCTTTTAGTGATTCCAAAATCAGCTCCAAGTTTTTTCCCTGGGCAGATGGTTGGTTCTTTTTAAATCTGTGCAATTGCTATTATGTTCAGAATATTTTTGACCATCACAAATACGTATATAAGCCAGACTGTAGCAAATGGACCTGACCTGAAGAAAACTGTTTTAAGACAGAAAAAATTGAGGGGATAATCATTTTATCTTACAGTTAAATAAAATGCTTTCTGCAGCAGCTGAATTAAGATTCCTTAAACGTTTCTCGAATCAATATTCTGATATAGAACTTTTTCTTTAAAGAAATAACAAGTTATTTGCAGCAATATATAAGCAGACATCTTTATGTTTAGCATACTGCTGATTACCAGTTGTAGAGCTGAATGCCTGATTGTATTTTGTGCTTCTTAAATCAGATGGTTTACTTTTGCCCTAATTGTGTAACTGCCCTGCGCTGTGTTATACTACATACTGACATACAATATGTGCTTTCTCCAACAAAATGCTACTACCAGTTCCTCTCTCTCCATAATATCTTGTTTGCTTCAAGATGGAAGCTAACATTATAAAAATAATTGTACCTCCTGCATTTGATGCTCACTGTTTTAAGCTTTATAACCCTTATCTTACACAAATTCAAAGAGACAATTATTGATCAACGATCCTGATTAAATGGTGTCCATTAAGACATGAAAAGTTGAAATAAACTAAATAACATCCTTTTGCTAGCTGGTTGTTCAGTACCATCACCCCCTATTTAAGAAATGATAGGTTAGATGGTCCCACCCCATTCTTAGTTTCAATAGTCCCTTTCAAAATTGTCAGAGGGGAGACACAGATGAGTTATCCATATAATCATATTAAATATCATTTATTAAATTTTCATCCAGACTGCATTCGTCCCATTGTGCTGAGTCTGCCACTTTTTGGAATGGACTTCCCAGGCTTTCCATGCTTCCCCCCTCTGCAGGACACAACAAAGAATATTTCAGGCTCTTTCCCTGAGGACAGGAGTAATAATTATTTCTTGTGTTTATTGCCAAGGAAGGGAAAAAATAGAGATAGCCAGAGATGCTCCTCAAGGATTTTTCAGGGCTCCAGTTGAACATTCAAAGCAGTGTCAAGGTAAAAAAAAAAAAAAAAAAAAACAAGCAGCACCAATGCCTAATTCAAGCACTATCTCATGACAAATCGTCTGCTCCATTCTGTGGGCTATAACTTACTGTAAAATAGATTTAGTAATCAATCGTGTGGAAGGACGGACTGCCTGAAGAGATTAAAAGCCCCTCTGCTCCTTCCTTTCTCCCCCTCCCACTGTGGCCCTCCCCCCATAGTCAGGACAATGGGCTGCCAATCAGGGAGGAGGCAGGGGAGAGGAGGAAGACAAGATGGCTGTCTGGGAATTTTTCCACCATAGGCCTCATGAAGAAGAAGAGCTCAGAAGTCAATTAAAGAGGCAAACTGAAAGATAGCAGGCCTGATGAGAAAGAGGCAGCAGCCAAGAAAACTGGGGGGAGGAGGAGAAAGAGAGAGAGAGAAAGAGAGAGAGAAAGAAAGAGAAAGAAAGAAAGAAAGAAAGAAAGAAAGAAAGAAAGAAAGAAAGAAAGAAAGAAAGACATTTATTCCCTCAGAACTGGTGTGAAGGAAAAGTTACTCCTGTTGTATCCCTCAGAAAGGGCAGAGACTTGGAAGGAGAGAAGAATCAAGGCACCCAGCAGAACAGGCATAGAAAAAGTAGACTATGACAGCACAGAACTAGAAAGCAGAAACTATAAAAGATAAAAGGCAAATTGAACTCTTGAAGCTTTCCTTTTGTGAAATACAAGTCTTCCCCCCCATCACTGAACGGAGATGCAAAAATCCAATGAATCCTCCAGAATTGCAGTGCTTTGTGTCTGTTGAGTCTGGGCCAATCTGATTATTAGTGGTTCAAAAAAAAAAAAGAACCTGCTTCAATCAGATATGCCATTTGTCACATTTTCAGTCTAACCCTTGCACAAAGACTATTAATGTTCACAAGCAACTGTTGCCACAGATTTCATGCAAGAGGCCAAAAATAATGAACAGAAACACAGAAGAATGGCAGCTGCTTATTAGTGGAGCTCTGTAAACAATCAAGGTAATTAGGTAACAGAAAATTAGGGGATACATTTGAAGAAGAAGGGCATGAGTGTTTCCCCCTACTAGCTAATATAAGAATCTTCCTGCGAGCTTTTGCTTTTGCAAAGTACTATTGCAAACAACAATAGTACTTGACTCTACATATTGGAAAGACACAAGCTGACCTTCCTGACATCCTTCTGTTTTATTTCATCAACCAGAATGGAAGGAAATAGGCTTTTGGCTTTTCTGCTTCTCTCTTTTTTTTTTCTGGCTCAGCTGTTCATTTATGCAGTTAAGAGCAGGATAAAATAAGCTAGGGAAGAAAAAAAAAAAAAGAAACAACCCCAAAAGCTTTTTTTAAAAAAAAACCCTCTTTCTTATTTGATGGCTAACATTAAAACGGCAAACAGTAATGGTGGTTATTGTGTGCCATCAGATAAGGAGTGTTAACTGGCAGAGCCCAGAAGGAAAGCTTTTTCTGCCATGGCTCCTGCCCTTTGAAACATTATCCCCCCTGAGAGTAGATTGACCTCATTCCTCTTGGCCTTCTGTAAGGCCTTAAAAACTTGGTTTGGGCCTGAACTGGGACCCCAGATATGTTAAAGGTGGTTTTTTTTAATGATTCCCAGCTACTGTATGTTTTGTTTTTTGTATTATACTGTATGTGTTTTTATTTGCCATTGTAAATGGCAACGGCAAATAAGTGAGATGCGTAGCCACATAAATCAATAAAATAAATAAGGCACCCAATTTTTCTCATTACAGGTAGTCCTCTATTTGCAACTACAATTGACCTAAAATTCCTGTTGCTAAGGAATTTTGCCCCATTTTACTACTTTTCTTGCCACATTTCCTAAGTGAATCACTGCAGTTGTCAAGTTAGTAACACGCTTGTTAAGTGAATCTGGCATCCCCATTGACTTTGCTTGTCAGAAGGTTGCAATGAACCTGGGACACTGCAACCATCCAAAATATGAGTCAGTTGCTGAAGTTTGATCAGGTGACCATGGGGATGCTGCATAAGTGTGAAAAAGGTCATAAGTCACTTTTTTCAGTCCCATTGTAACTTTGGGACTAAATGAACTGTTGTAAGTTGAGGACTACCTGTATAAAGTATATATAGTGACCAAAATGAATTGCAAAGGGGTTTTGTTTTGTTTTGGGTTTTTTTTTTTTTTACAGCTTTGTATGCTCGAGTAAGACAACTGAAACCAGTTCATGGAGCTTTTAGTAACTGGTACACACTGAGAGGTTTAAATGTTGAAGTAGATCTTTGAGTTAAGCTATACAC